TCTCCTGCCACATTGAACACTAGGAGTTTAGGGTTTAGGGTTTAGGGTTTTGGTCTCCTGCCACTTTGAACGAGTTTAGGGTTTAGGGTTTTGGGGTCCTGCCACATTGAACAATAGGAGTTTGGGGTTAAGGGTTGAGGTCTCCTGCCACATTGAACACTAGGGGTTTAGGGTTTAGGGTTTTGGTCTCCTGCCACATTGAACACTAGGAGTTTAGGGTTTAGGGTTTTTGGGAGTTTAGGGTTTAGGGTTTTTGGGAGTTTAGGGTTTAGGGTTTTTAGGGGTTTAGGGTTTAGGGTTTTGGGGTCCTGCCACTTTGAACAATAGGAGTTTAGGGTTTAGGGTTTTAGTCTCCTGCCACATTGAACACTAGGGGTTTAGGGTTTAGGGTTTTGGGGTCCTGCCATTTTGAACAATAGGAGTTTAGGGTTTAGGGTTTTGGTCTCCTGCCACTTTGAACACTTCGGGTGTTGGGTTTAGGGTTTTGGGGGGTTTAGGGCTTAGGGCTTTGGGGGCTTTAGGGTTTAGGGTTTGGGGTTTGGGGTTTAGGGTTCAGGGTTTTTGAACAATTAGGGTTATTGGTGAGGGTTCCGGGAGCTTGACTAACGAAGCCTCAACGGATAAAGAAGACGTGGCATCAAACAAAACATACAAGACTCTGAAACCCGATACTGAAGAACCCAAAATAATTGCCGATATTCTTTCTCAAGGTTCCATGCTAAATTGTGTAAGTACCCCAAAAATCAACAAAAGGCGCCGATTTAGGTGCTTGGGGTTTAGGCTTTGTGGGTTTTGAGGTTTCAGGTATTTAAAGGCTTAGGCTTCAAGGTTTGGGTCTAGGGGTCATGGAGCCTGCACAGATGGATCCCACTGTTGCCCGAAAACCCTAAACCCTTAAACCCCTAAAGCAGAAGTGGAGCGAAGCCTTCGGGCCCTCAGGTCATACAGATCTTGTGTCCAGCGCTTGTTCGAGTCCCCGTTGCGAAGACTCCGGCAACATCAATAATTGGATCATGCTTATCTTGTTTAATCTTTTGCGGGGACCCTAAACTCTAAAACCTCACACCCACGATACTAGGATCCTTCTGAGGGCTCTGAAGCAGGACGCCCTTTGTTTGGAGACTCGCCCCTACATTACACTCCCCCGTCCCCCAAGAAACTTAAGACCCGACCCTAAACCCTAAACCCTAAACCTTAGCCCTAAACCCGCCAAGCCCGACACCAGCCTGCGCCAGCTTCGGGATTCGGCTGCGATCGCTTCGACCTCATCTGGGATTTCCCTCCCTGCATGCAGCCCTAAACCGGTTTAAGGTTTAGGGTTTAGGGTTTAGGCAAGCCCTGGCTTGTCATGCAGCCCTAAACCCTAAGCCGCACTTAAGACTTGGGGAAGGCATGGGAAGGCGCTGCACGCAACTGTGGCGGTGTGTTGTTCGTGAAAAGTGGTGCGCAGGGCTTTGGGTTTAGAGTTTATGATTTATGATGACGAACTCGAAAACAGACGAAGAGGACAACGAGGAAACTTAGGCTGCGCTGAAGATGGTGGCTAGTGAAGAAGTTTATGCGACGATCAAGTCTTGATGTCGTTGATCCTGGCAGTGATCATAATCACAAACTGCCTCCCGCCATCACCATGTCCAACATATTTGCTCAGCCACCCAGTTACGACAGGCAATGGCCTTGGATCATGCTTCCCAATCCTGAGGCTGCTTCGCGCACTTGCTCAACACCGAATAATATAGGGGCCTTACTGATTAGAATAGGGTTTTGGGGTTATAGTAAGGAACCCAAAGGCCCCTATATTTCGGAATCCGCATCCAAACTTAAGACATGTATGTCTCAGGTGTTAAGAAGTGTTGACTGGTTCTAGAGACTGTGCCAAGATTAATGAGCACTTCTCTGGCTGCCCGAAGCCGAAACCCTGGTAAAAAAAACACACTTACTTCACGGCCTTGAGGGGCAGATCATCTCCAAACCCGAAAACTTGGACGGCTTCTACTGGGGAGGGCACTCTTTGCGCCAACACGGACGGCGACTGCAGCCAGCACAGCGCATGACAAAGGCCTCCAGGCAAACTTTAGGGCTTTTTTAAACCAAACCCTAAACCCCTAAACCCTAAACCCCTAAACCCGGTCAGGAGCCCGTCTTTGCAGGGTCTGACAGGTCTGGCATCTTGAGGAAATGGTCATCTGCGGATTGGGTCAAGGAGGCCGGTGCGGCTTCGAGTCTAAAGGGCTTTTAGGGTTTAGGGTTTAGGGTTTAGGGCTTTTAAAAAGGTTTAGGGTTTAGAGTTTCAAGGGCAACCAGCTCTGTATTCAACTGGTGAGATTGCTCCACACAATGGCCCAGACAGGGGTCTACACTCTCCTAGTGGAGCTGAGAAGTGTGCACGAATTCAAAATAGCAACGTCTGATTCATGTTTCAAGATGTCAGCCACAGAGGTGTTGACACGGTCTGGGCCCTTGGGTTCTATGACTTCGGAGCCAGGCATGAAGACACGAAATCTCTGACTCCGACAAAACGGACATCAAGTCCGTAGCCGAAATCTGTGTGGTTCGCGGCATTGCTCTTCACACCGGCAGTATCTAAGCTCGGAGTGATGGAGTGGAGCACATGGGTTGCCACGTCGATGCAAAGACAACAAGCAAGCGTCTATCGTGTAGGAGTTTCGAACTCCAGGTTTACGGGGGACTAAAACCCCAAACCCCTAAACTCCAAAAGTCTAGACCCTGAACCCCTAAACCCTCAAACCCGAGACCCTGAACCCCTAAACCCCGAAAACCCGAGACCCGGAACCCCTAAACCCCGAAAACCCCAGACCCGGAACCCCTCAACCCTAACAGCCTAGACCCTAAACCCCTACACCTAAACCCTTAACATCCCTCAACCCCAAACCGTAAGCCCTAAACCCCAAACAACCCTACACCCTAAGCCCTAAACCCTAAACCCAAAACTCAAAACACCTAAACTTACCCCAAACCGTATAAGCCCTAAACACCTTTCCTGCAAGTCTCGCAGACGTACAGAGGCACTGCCCGAAGACGTACCGGACCGAAGGAGGTCGCTATGTTTGGCCATGGGGCTTCTCTGAGGATCTTCGGGTTTAGGGTTTAGGGTTTAGGGTTTAGGGGTAACCAAATGACCCAATAATCGGATACTTTGGTTACGGATGGTAGTGATCTAGCCTAATACCTAATGTTTGGGAAAGTATATGATTATTAGGTACTTGGACCCTTAGGGTTAGGGTTTGAGGGTTTCGGGTATAGGTAGGTTTGAGGGTTTAGAGGTATAGGGTTCAGGGCTTAGGGACTAGGGTTTAGGGGTTTAGAGTTTTAGGGTTTAGGGGTTTTAGGGATTTTAGGGGTTTAGTGACTAGGGTTTTATGATTTGGGACTTATGAACAGAGTTTAGAGGGTTCGGCAATCGAGACGTCGTCTTGGCAGGGCTTCAGGGATTTAAGGTAAGAACCGTTTTTTATTTAGACTAGGGCTTTGGGATATGTTATACTAGAAAGACATACTCACGAAGCTCGTGAAAAGCTTCTTGTTGTTACACGGTCTTGAATCATGAAAAAGGAACCTCCAAAATGGTATAGGTATTTAGAATACCTATACTATTTTGGAGGTTCCTTTGCGTGATTCTAGTAAAATATACCCAAAATTAAGGCCCCTATATTAGGCTTTGGTTCTGCTGCCTGTCCAAACGACTGGCTTGCGGGGCGCCGGAAACGCGGCCTGGCAGTTTCAATGTTGGACGTGTCGCCCTCTAGTTTGAACTACAGGGATGCAGAAGGGGGTTTAGGGTAGTTTAGGGGTTCGGGTTTAGGGGTTTAGGGTTTAGCGTTTTAGGGGTTTAGAGGTTTGGGGGTTTGGGGTTTAGGGGCTTAGGGCGTAGGGTGCAGGGGCGAGGCGAAGAACATGATGCTCGGGCTTGCTGCTGCACACAGGTCCTGGGGACTGAGAACTGTATTTGGGTTTAGGGTTTAGGGTTTAGGGGTTTAGGGTTTAGGGTTTAGGGGTTTAGGGTTTAGAACGTATCTCCGATCTCCGTCCAGCCCTGAGACAACAAGGCTGAAAGGCGGTCACCCCCACATGCACAGGTAAAACAAAGCACACGACGAGACATCTGTGACGACCTTCAGCATCGCACTCCACAACTAAGCACCAACGTCACTAAGTTACAAAGTCTTTCCCCCAGCGTCCATGCCAATGTTGTATATAATTCTGCCTTAAAGGGGTTACTGAAGACGTCTATGTATTAGGTAGTTGTAAATGCCCAAGCTTATACTTAGTCTGAGAGCCATGACGCCCTCATAGAGGCATTGCCTGCATCCGAACATCCCTACCGGCATGACAAGGATGCTTCTAATAGGATACCCTAAGCCCGAAACCTATTCCCAAAAACCTGACCGTAAGCCACCGTGCTCTGACAACGACTTCAGGTTCAAGTGTCACAACATGAGGTTATGACCCCATACTTATCAACTATGTAGGGTATTGCTACCATAGTAGGCAGTTTTTGGAGCCACCTAAATAACCCCGAACCCTGACCCTGCACCGTATCCCTGATCCCAACCCCTCAACCCCTACCGTAACCCACCTTCACTGTTGCGGGGTGCCTGCTTTACTTGGAGGCTCACGGGTAAGTATAGAGGTAAGTATAATAGGAGACAAGTTGGGTAACTATATTTATAACCCATATTAAGTGACTTATAACTCTGCTGATGACTACCCTAAAGAAACCCTACACCGTATAGAGCCTGTAATAAAAGAACTCTACTTAAGGCTCCACTTATCACTGCCCATGAGCCTCGAAATAGGCCTTGCAACCCTAAACCCTAAAACCCTAAACCCCAAAAATCCCTGAAACCCTAAAACCCTAAACACTAAAACCTTAAACCCTAAAACCCTAAAGCCCTAAACCCTAAACCCTAAAGCCCTAGCAACCCTGGCCTGGAACGGCCCCAAAGACAGCAGTCGGAACGGAGGGCCGCAAGGCCGCGCGCACGGGCTCCTTGCTCAAGCTTCCTGACCCTTTTGGGTTTAGGGTTTAGGGGTTTAGGACTTTGGGTTTTAGGGTTTAGGGTTTAGGGGTTTAGGGTTTGGGGTTGTGGGTTTTAGGGTTTAGGGTTTAAGTGAAGAAGGTTTATACAGTGGGCTCTATTTAGGGCATCATGGCAAATCACTTATCATGGCTAACCTATGAAATTCCGAGGCCTTTCAGCTCCAGGATGACCGCCCTGTCCTAAACCCTAAACCCTAAACCCTAAACCCTAAACCCTAAACCCTAAACCCTAAACCGTGGCTCACCAGAAGTATGGGCAGGTTTAGGCTTCGGGCCCGGAGGCTGCATTTTCTCTTGGTCACGTAGGAAGCCCTGGCCCTCTAATCCCATTCATATAAAGAACTCCAAAAAAAAACAACAAAGGAAAAAACAACGCCAGCCCCCAAAGGCCCCTGCTGAGGAAAAACTTAGCCTCCCTGGATTTAGGGCTTAGGGTGCTTAGACTTCATCCGGGGCGTTGAATGCGTCCCGGGCCTGCTAAGAGAGTCGAAGAACAGGCGCAGTATTTAGGGCCGTAGAAACTACTAGAACCTAGGATTTAGCATGGCGTTCAATTGCAGCACTGAAGTTCCTGCCAAGACTCCAGCATCGCGGGAACAGCAGGAAACTACCAAACTCGTTTTGCTAAGCAACTTGCCTGCGAACATAGTAACATAGTAGCACACGTTTAGCAATCCCGTGCATACAGTGAAAGTAAGTGGTTCTGAATCGAAGCTATTCCGTTTAAGCCAAAACTGCTGCACAAGAGACTGCCTCTCGACAAACGTAGAAAAGTTGGCTGGGAACTGTCACGCTTCTCCTGCTGCTGTTCAGGAACCGAACCGGATTATGCTTCTCAACGCCGTCACAAAACATGTCAAACTGAGGTGAGATTACCTTCAAGTCCAGTATATCATAGGGACCCCTGGGGGGGTGTAGGAGACTTTGCTTCCTTAAACAGGTATTAAGGCCCCCTACCCCCCTCCTCCCTACCCCCAGAAGGGTCAAACCCTAAACCCCTAAACCCTAAACCCTACCCCTACTCGCACTGATGCTACACAGACGTGCACATCGAAATCCTGAGAAGCCTTGAGCTCTCAGGAGAACAACTGATTTAGGGTTTAGGGTTTAGGGTTTAGGGGTTTAGGGTTTAGGGTTCAGGGTTCAGGGTTAAAGGATTTAGGGTTTAGGGTTTAGGGTTTAATCATTACGATCGGCTTTGGAGAACTAAACTCATTTTTAGTTGCAAGAGGTTTACGGAACCCTATTGTCAGGATCAAGGCTCCGATGCTAACAGTATCAGGAAATGCGACAAGATAACGACAAGCAAGTGGCAGGGACCTAGTTTATCCAATGCTGGCATCAGTTCATTCTCAAGCCTATTGCCATTTAAATTTCCGCTGAACAGCTCGCTAGAAGCAAACATCGAAGTCCCCCAGAATCGACGAAAGACGTATTAAACCACATCTAAACACGCGCATTTGAGCCTCTGCATTCAGGTGACCTGTAGCTTCAACCATGTCCAGAGTTCGCTGCGAAGTTGATTGCTGCCAATAAGAATGCACTCGGCAACCACTAACTTAATTTTTGTACTGTGAATGTTGCTGCTGATGGTGGTGATGACGAAGATAGTGATGGCTGTAGTGCTGAAGCTTATTCATCCGGCAATGCGAGACACGAGTACCAACCTGAAGATGAGGGTGAACTGCATTCGTACTGTGAAGATGATGGCGATGACGCCCGAAGCTTTTCCCGAGTCTGCAAAAAATCTAAGGATCCCAAGCGTGGAGAACATGCCTTCCCTCCTTTGCAACTTCCCGCAAGGAATCAAAACCCATATATCTTGACAGGTATGTGGGTAGTTCTCTAAATTAGGGTCCCTTTTAGGGGTCCTATTTTATAACGTACTATATTGGGGACCTAAAGAGGGACCCTAGTTTAGAAAACTACCATGTAGAAATGCGACGAAGGTGCACCGTAGCTCACCATGAACAATCAGCCGGCCCTCAAACCCAACAGCCCGCAAGTCTGGAACTTCAGGACCCTCCGCCAAATACGGAGGCCTTAATAGATAGAACAGGGTTTTGGAGTACATTGTACTTTTATTAAAATAAGGAGCCCCCCAAAATAGTATTGGTAGTTATTTAAGCCCCTATAGTACACCCAAAACCCCGAACCGTCGGTTAAGATCCCCTATGCCCTGACCCATCGACCCCCTAAGCCCTACTTGGAGGTTCATGGATGGTTGTACGTGGGGCTATAAGTCCCCCAACATGGGCTAACAATGTAGGTGCCCTAATTATAACCCGCTGAACCCTAGACCCTAAACCCGTAGACCTTAGACAACCCCAAATCCTAAACCCTAAATCCGTAAACCTTAGACAACCCTAAACCCTAAACCCTAAACCCTACACCCTAAACCCTAAACCCTACACCCTAAACCCTACACCCTAAACCCTAAATCCGTAAACCTTAGACAACCCTAAATCCTAAACTCTAAACCCTAAACCGTACACCCTAAACCCTAAATCCGTAAACCTTAGACAGCCCTAAATCCCATGAAGCTTGGCATGCAGCATTCCGGGAAGCGGAGGCATCATGCCAGGCCTTAGTGGGATCGGAGGGTTTAGGGTTTAGGGCTTAGGGTTTAGGGCTTAGGGTTTAGGGTTTAGGGTTGGCTTCAGGCCTTTAGGGAGTTGGTTCGGGTGCAGGGCATGGGGGGCTTTAGTAGGGTTCTAGGCTTTAGGGTTTGGCTTCTGATGCTTGGTGGGGACCACCCTCAACCCTAAACCCTAAACCCTGAACCCTAAACCCTGAACCCAACCAAAAAACCGGAGTGAGCAAACCCCTGAATCCGAGTGGCGGCATCGGCATCATCCCTGGCGGTGGCGGGCCACCAGGAGGCACGCCGGGCCTGAGGAAAGCTTTCCGAGGCTTCAGTGTTTAGCGGCGTTAGGGTCTAGGGCAGTTTAGGTGCAGAGGGCTTTCATGAGCTCAGTTGCTCGGCCAGAAGTGCGGTTACAAAAACACAAAAGGCTACCAGCAGCAGCAGCAGCAGCAGCAGCAGCAGCAGCAGCAGCAGCAGCAGCAGCAGGCGTAACTATGATAAGATCGATCATACGATTAATTTTCTTCTTGTGCTATTATTCCATTGCTGCTGTATTTGTATTACTATTCTGACTTAGTCAGCATTGAACTATTTCTATGTCATTATTATTTAGATGACTCGGTCTAGGGTCAAGTCCCAGGACCAGACGCTGTACCGTCGAAAGTTCAGCAGCCAAGGTTGTCCAGATGGTGCCCAGCTCAGTACAAGCTTACTGTTCTAAAGACTTGTGAATGTGCCAGAAGACCGTGCGCATCACACTGCTGAAATGCTGATCTCGGCTCCCGACGGCGGCATGCCTGTGTGGCATCGCAGCTTTTGGTCATGCCCGTTGATTTGTGCAGTTGGTGATGCCTGTACTTACGAAGATGATGACAATCCTTATGTACTTCTACCAGATGCAATCTGATGCAGTGGTTACGGCAGTGATGCAAGTCTGCCAGCATCGCGCAACGTCCGAATTCGGTGCAAAGCCGTTCGAGGGTACAGCAAGTAAAGCATTGATATATACTTTGGTTCCCTTAAGGCTCCAAGTACATAATATAGGGGCCTTAATAATTGGGATAGGGCTTTGGGGTATGTGATAAGTTATACTGTAACTATAATAGAGAACTCTAACCCCAAACTCTAGACTCTAAACCCTAAACCCCTAAACCCTAAACCCCCAATTTAATAAGGCCCCTATATTAAACGGACTACTTCCCTAAACCCTAAACCCTAAACCCTAAACCCTAAACCCTAATGGGCTATTGGGAACCCTGGGTCTTCCCGGCTATCGATGCCTGGCATCGGTGGGAAAAAGGGTGGAGCACCTGGCGGTGGTGGACCTCGCCGGCCACAGTTTAGGGGTTTAGGGTTTAGGGGTTTAGGGGTTTAGGGGGCTTTAGGGGTTTAGCGTCTTAGGGGGCTTTAGCGGGTTTCAGGGGGGTTTAGGGTTTAGGGGTTTAGGTTTTAGGACTTCGGCCGCCCTGTTGAGGAGGGAGTGAGCCAAACAGTCCGCACGTGCGAACGTCCAGCAAATTCCGCCAAAACTCCCTTACACACCTCAGCCCTGAATTTGCGAAAAAAACCCTAAAACCCCCAAACCTCAACACTAAAGCCTATAAACCCTCAACCCCGAACCCTGAAGCCTAAGGTTTGGGTTTAAGAGCTCAGCATTCACGGTTTGTTGGCACGTCTCTCGGGCAGAATGTGTTTCCATGTCTGCAGTCACGAAATCGGGCTTGCAACTGCAATCCTAAGGGTCCGGGCACCTATACCTCGGGCTCTTGTTACTGAAATAGAAAGTTACTGACCATATGGTATGTAAGCCAGTAACCCATCATAACAAGGATATACCATAATACATACCTTAAGGCTGTTTCTCAGCCTAGGACCCCTGTTCTGGTACCCTAAACCCTGAAGCCTAAACCCGAAACCCTGAAACCTAAACCCTAAACCCTGTCTAGGGATAAGTGTATACTTTGTGGGCACATGGACCCTCAGGGTTTTTGCAACAGTGGTCTTAGAGCTCAGGGCCTGCATGTTCGGGTACTAGTTTAGGGGTTTGGGGGTATAGGGGTTTAGGGTTTAGGCTTTGGGGGTTTAGGGTTTAGAGGTGTAGGGTTTAAGCAAATTCTAGAGGCAGGTGGGATCCTAGGGATGGCTCATCAGACGATGGCGAAAACCCGCCGAGAGAACACCAACAGCGACGGGTGGCAGCAATGGAACTAAGCGGAGCCTGCAAGACCAAGCTATTGGATTAACCCACCGGTTCCGCGAATTTCTGCAGTATAATGTAGAGGCATTAGCCCATTCTACTATAATCATAATAAGGGACCCCCAAAAATAGTGTAGGTTAGTATTAATAAGCCCCTATATTAGTCGGGAATGCTGTCTTTAGGGTTTAGGCGTTGAAGGCTTCGCGGCTTTAGCCAACACCACCTCTAAACTTGGGCCTGAAGAATTCCCAATCCCCAACCCCCTCCGAACACGCTTTCAAACACTCGCCCTCCAATCCTCAAGGTCTAGGTCTGGGTTTTAGGGTTTACTTGGAGGTTCAAGGGTGGTTATAAGTGGGGTTATGAGTAGGGTAACTATAAGTATAACCCCAATCAGGGGACTTATAACCCCACTTAGAACTACTCGTGAACCTCCAAGTAGGGTTTAGAGTTTACGGCTTGCAAACAGTCAGCGGATCTTTTAATCCCATGCCCGGATCCAAAAGCGTCACGCCGGTTGATTAAAAACTGTAACCGCGAACCCTGGTAGAAGCCCATACTATACCCGATAAAGCTCTTCGGTTTAACAGTTTACGCAAACCTATATTCTATAGCGCAGTAGTATAGTGATAATACTTGGGGAGTCCCAAGTAAAGATAGTACTACTAACTATTTGTTGGTTTCCGAAAATATGGGAGCCTACTGCAGTACCCATAACAGCAGGATCCTTATTATGAGGACCCCAAATAAGGTACCCCTTTTTTTCGGAAACTCCCATATTCTAAAACCCTAAACCCCTAAACC